CCTTATGACATGGGGCACTATTCTGTTGGTAAACACCATCCCCCGCAGGAAAAACTGTTGCCATGAATGGGTGAACCTGGTCTGCAACTATGTTCAAGTAGCTTACAGATGTCAGGGATTGTTCTATGAGGATTATGGGTCCTACTGTGCCCCATGAAAACATTGTACCTGGGCGAGAAACCATGAAAACCTGGGCGAGCCCATTGTTATAGATGGAGGGTGGTCATAATGCAACGGCTCTTATACACAATATATTTAGTCTTCCTCTAACGTCAGAGTGGAATGTGACTATTTCCTTTTTCCCAGTCATTTCTCTTTAATGCATTACTACATTAAATTCCGCGTGGTGGTTCCTTAGGGAGTTCAAATATTTTAATTTTTGAGAATAAATTAGTGCTTCGAATCATAGTACACTCAAAAGAGGAACAACTTTCGCCACTTGCCAAAGACTTTTTTTGCGACTAATAATTATATTAAAAAATGATACGAAAGATCATGTTGAAAAAATGGAAATCATTATAATCGAACCTTCTACTGGAAGTTGAAACAAACACCCCAAATATTACCCCCTACCGTTGGTAGACGGGTCATGGGTTAGAGTCCCCTTGCCGTCAAGCTAACCATGGGAGGTTTTCGTGATTTTCCTCTCCATGAAATGTAAATGTTACTTCCATCAAAAAGTCCTCCATGAAGGCAAATTTCTCCCGAAACTTCTGGATTGGGTTCAAAATTTCAAGGATACAGAATTGAACATTGGCAGTCGTAAAACTGAAAATTCGGTCGGCTGTTCGACGTCTGTTATAACAATAGAAGTGAATAGTGTAAATAAAATACTTCGCGACATTTACGAAACTGAAAAAAATTTTAATTGAACTTGAACTTAGAAAAATTGTAAACTTGTAAAAAATTATGTGCTTGAAATTAAAACAAAATTTTAAACATTTGAAATGAACGCTCATGATTTTTAAGTTCAAAGGGTCATTCTTCATCCTGCAGCCCCGGGACGTATGAATCAACGATGTGAATCGACAGTCACTCGATAAATAATACCCAAAACAACTTTTAAATTAAAATAGTAAGAAATATTGAAAATCAAATTAAGTATGGTAATCAAACGTAAAGTTTACAAACGAGGATTTTGAAAATAGTCAAAATGATCTTCCATCATAACTAGATTTGCTTAAATCATATCTAATTGTTATGTCTCTGAATATTTCTCATTAAGACTGGTTGAACATAATTTAAATAAATTTATTTTATGAAATATTGTCGTTGAAAAAAAATATTGAACGAGTATATTTTTCAATAAAATTACATGTTTTTACAAAAAAGAAACATTTCGATGGAAGAACTAGACTCGGTCCTTTAAAAAACAATAATATTTTTTTTAAATGTTTTTGTTACATCCTCCTTTTTGACTATTAATTATTCTTGTTATTTCATTATCATTTGTTATTTCATTATTTTTTGTTAGCTCATTATAATTAGTTCAATATTTTGTTAGTTCATTATTTTCTTTCGATTAGATTTCTGTTAGTCCACCATTATTTTTTGACAGTTATCTGTTAATTTGCTAGTGCTTTCTTTATTGTTTGATCGGCTTAATCTTGATAAACTTTTATAATAAAAATATAATTTTTAGGATTTATATTTTGTTACATGTTTATATATATATATATATATATACATNTATATATATATATATATTATCGAGCATTTGAAATAATTTTTTTTCTTCTTTTCCACACATGCGATATTCAAGTCAAGGAATTTAAAGGAAACATGATATTCATTCCCTCTTTTATGCGTTTTAAAATTTATAAACTTAAATAATTTCGTCCAAAATGAGTAGTTTCAAGAAGTTAAATGGGTGAATTTCTTCGAGAAAATCTCTGACACGCATATGCTAAATTATATTCACAAAATACAAAAAACCGAAATAAAAAAAGCAACATACACGATTATTTTTGTATTTGAATAAATATTTTCTTGGATGCAAAACCTGAGAAATAAATTTTTTTGCACCGTTGGTATGTTAAGTTTCACAGAAACGAAGAAATTAGGTCTTTTTAAGCGAAAGTATTTTAAACCCATATAGATTTTTTAGGAAAATTGTCCGCAAAAAAACGACAGCTAATATATTTTCTTTCACGAACCACAAAAAAAAAGACTTCGCGGCTCGCCAGTTGGCAACCACTTTCCGTTTTATTGCAATAATTAACGTTTTATGTGCTATCTCTTTGTTTCCATCATTCATTCTCTATATGTTTTATTTTATTGAAATCATTCATTCTTTATACCTTTCATTTTAATGCAATCATTCATTCTCCATGTTATTGCATTTCCATTGTGTTCTCTTTTTTAATTGGATCATTTTTTTTCCTATCCATTAATTTTTTAATTAAACTATTTAAAATTATTTTAAATTATTTATAAGTATCAATGGTAATATTATTTTTCAAAAAGGGTCAAAATTAATAAAAAAATTCTAAATTGAAAAACTCATTTTTTTTCTTTTAGTACTTCTTTTGTCATGTCAAATTCAATGTGATTATTTTTTATTTAAAGTATAGCAAGGTCATTCGCCGAACTATGGTATTATTCAAATATGAAGTTTATGAACGTTGAAGATCAAACCGCTAAGAAAATTAGATTTCTGGAAAAAAAAGTTTACGAATGTTACGGGTATAAAATGTTTCCGTTTAAAAAGTGCATCAAGAAAAAATTATGTTTTGTAATATTCATTGATTTTTCTCTATATCAGCTATTTATTTAGAAGGTTGTGTTTTAAGTTACCTTGTTTGTTCTTTAAACGTAAAAATAATTAAAAATAAAATTTAAAAATTTATTTAACACACAAAAAACAATTTCGTTTTTTTGCAATTGGATCATATGTACAGAATTGGGTTATTTGTGACAAAAAAAAAACTAAAATGATAGATTTCTTTTATAATGGATTACAGTTTTTTAACATAAAATATCGTGTATTTTCTTTAATGTAAATAAAAATATATTTATTTTATACACATTTTATGGTCATACTTCTTGAAAAATTTTAGAATCCTTATTTTCATTCAAAAGCTTGTTACTCATAAAATTTCGATTTAAAAAAAAAAAAAAAAAAAAAAAAAAAAAATTTTTATTTTTTTGTGCAAACTCAAGAATCACTTTAATAAATATTTTTATAGATATTTATTAAATGTCAGTGGGTATTACTGTAGCCACTATCATTAAAAGATCAACTGTGCGTAAAAACATAAAAATCTTTTATATGCGATTTTAATTCTCCAAAAAAGGAATGAAAGTTGCTGAAATTTTTTGTTAAAATAAAATTAAGAAAGTTTTTAGAGCTTTTGAAATTAAGAAATAAAATTAAGAAATTTTTAGGTTTCATGATAATGAGAAAATTTTAAAAACTGTGACTCAAGCGCATAAAGTTTTAAAAGATCCCAAAAAGTTCTCAAAAGTTTTTTAAGAAGTTTAAAAATATCTCAAAAGTTTTTTAAGAAGTTTAAAAATATCTCAAAAGTTTTTCAGCTCGATGAGAACAACTTTATAACATAGTGAATTATTATACTTGTTATATATTATTTATATTATATATTAATAATTTAAAGAAGTTATTTTAGGTTATNATATATATATATATATTGTGGTTATTGTATCTAAATGTTTTTCATTATAAAGAGTTAAAAAGTATCAAACTATCTTGGCTAATTATTGAATTGACGGAATATATATGTTTTAATACATGTTTTAGGAAAATAATAGTTTAACTTTTTGTTCCTTGAAATAAATAAATTGTCGGATGCTTGGAACTTTCAAATTACTTTAACAAGTTATCGATATTTCCCTCTACAATAAAAGAATAAGTTTTTTATTCAACTGTTAATAACAGTTTAAGAATTTTAAACATATTTTTTTAGCGATAATATTTTTTCCAACGTTAATAATTTCACGACTATAAAATAATCATGACGGTACCATTTAACTTCAAATAATTTCATAAACTATTATTCAACGACTTCAAATAATTTTCAAACTCAATGACTTTTTACTGTCTATTTTCAGAATATCTTTAAAAATTGTTGAAGTTTTCTGCACTTAAGAAAAAAATTTCTTTCTTACAAATGTAAAAAAGTGTAGATTTCCTTTTCACAAATGTAAAAAAAAAGTTTCTTTTTTCTGCACGAAAGTCAAATTGCTTTAACAAGTTATTGAAATTTACCTCCAACAATAAAATGATAAGTTTTTTTATGAAAATATTAATAATTTACGCTTTCTAAACATATTTTATTTTAGCGATAATATTTTTTTCTAACACCAAACTAAAATATTCCACGACAATAAAATAATTAAAACATCAATAACTACTCTTCAACAACTTCAAACAACTTTCAAATTCAATAACTTTTCCCTTGTCTGTTTTAAAAATATGTAGACAAAATGCGAAAGTTTTTTTGGCTCCAAATAATAAAAAAAAAATTTGTACAAATGTAAGTAGCAATATATTGCTGTGTAACATATTTTTGGAACGATTATAATTTTCCAAACGTCAGGTTCAAATGTCGTGTAAAATAGTTTTCAGTAAAAGAATTCTAAAGGAAAAATAAATAAATTATGTAGACAAAAAGAAGTTTTTTGGAACCAAAAGAAAAAAAAAATCTTTTGCACAAATGTAAGGGACAATATATTACTTTGTAACATATTATTGGAACGATTATAATTTTGCAAAAGTCAGGTTAAAATGTCGTGTAAAATAGTTTTCAGTAAAAGAATTCTAAAGGAAAAATAAATAAATTATGTAGACAAAAAGAAGTTTTTTGGAACCAAAAGAAGAAAAAATTCTTTTACACAAATGTAAGGGGCAATATATTACTTTGTACCATATTTTTGGAACGATTATAATTTTCCAAACGTCAAGTTGAAATGTTGTGTAAAATAGTTCTAAGTAAAGGAATTCTAATTGGAAAAAAAAAGAGAGCACCTGTATGACTTACCTTGAGTTGTGGAGGTGATAGCAGCAATGATGAGTGTTAGGAACACCAGGTGATGTAGTGCCGTAGGCGATGGGACGATCATGATTTTGGCACGTCAAACGAAACTACCTCTCACTTTCTCTGCTCTCTCTCTTTCTCCTTGTGTAACTCACAGTTGTGGATGACTTCCATATCTCCGTAGGTTGCCAAATGCAATGCCTTCTTTTCTCGGCGACCGCCAACCCTCTTCTTCTCATCAGAAATCCCGCGCTTATTTAAGAACGATCAACTTATAAAACTTTCTTAAACCCTTTGACGCAGTATTTTTATTAAACACTCATTAAACTTTTTTCATTATTTTGCATTAATTTAGGTCAAAATAAGTGAAAAATATTATATTTAGCATTTTAATAATTTATGGTAATGAAGTACGAGTGTCTTTTCTATGTTAAAGATAAAATCTTCCAAACACGGCACTTTTCCAAACATTAATTTTTCAAATTTGCAGTTATTTAGATCTAATGAGATTTTAAGTCATTGCTGAAATTTCTTTGATTCGCAAATCCCATTATTGATAAATTTTTAAATTTGAATTATCGCATTTATTTAAGAACGATCAACTTAAAAAGATTTCTCAAACATTTTGATACAGAATTTTTATTAAACATATTTTTTCACTTTTTTTTATTATTTTGTTAATTTAGGTCAAAATAAGTGAAAAACATTATATTTAGCAATTTAATAATTTATGGTTATTAAATGCAGCATGAACACCGGTGTCTTTTTCTGCTTTAAAGGTAAAATCTTCTAAACATGGCTCACTGCCAAACAATTAATCAAATTTGCAGTTATTGAGATCGAATAAGAATTTTACTCATATTCGAAATTTCTTTGATTTACGAATCCCATTATTGACAAATTTTTGAATCTGAATGAAGAAAAAAATTCTTTCAAACAACTTTTTTTATATTTTATGTTTTATTTTTAGTATAAATATAATTCCGATATTCTAACAGATTTTTTTTGGTAAATATTAGATTGTTTTTTATAATTAAAAAAGTGCGAAATATTTTTTTGCTTGTAATTAGAGGGTCAGTTTTTAAATATTTTTTTTAAATACAGGCATTGTTTCAATTTTTTATCTTCTGATTGGTTTTGCAATATACAAAAACTAAGGCTTGGTGTAAGTTCCACGTTCCCTAAGATAACATTTATTGCTTGCCCTTCTTTCAAAATATAAGATTTATTTACGCAATTTTCGAGTTTTTGACAAGCCTTTATTAAAAATTGCAGTCTCTATAATGGAATTCTTTTATAAGTCTACATAAGGGAATTCTTCTGTTTTTCCTTCTTTGAATTAACCTTGCAAAAAGCATACTGAAAATGCTGCCAAATCTACTTCTGGCCCCGGACAAAATTTATTGCTTACCCTTTTCTCAAAATGCAACGAGTTTTATTTTCATATTTTGTCGAGTTTTGGACGAACCTTAAGTCAAAATTGTAGTTTTTATAGATACATAAGAATTTTTCTCTCAGTTTCTTTAAAAAAAAACTAATTCAAAATTGAACAAGAAACACTTATTTTCTTTTTTTTTAATAAGGAATCACGTCTGGGTCCCAGTACAAATGCCCCTCTTTTTCTCCCCTTTAACCTTGCATACAAAAAATGCCAACAAATATTCTATAAATCATTTTTAATGAATCCCTTATATAATTTTATAACGAATCCCTTTTTTTTATAATTTTGTAGCATACAAAAATACAGCAAATAAATATGCTCTCATTTTCTATCAATGGCTTTAATCAACTATTTTAAAAAGGCGTAACGTGCATATTTTTTTATTATAATAAAAGGAAAATTTTGTTAAGAATGTATATTGCAGAAGTATTTAAAAGCATTTCTGTGGCACATTCTTCTTATACATGCATCGTACTTTTTCACTTTTCGTACACATTCTTTAATTGTATTTTTCATACTTTTGTGCCATACCAAGAGTATACAAAAGATAATCATAAATCTTCAAGTCATTTTCACCCTAGAAATTATAAAAATTGATGCTTGTATTTTTCGATACTACTGAAATGTTACAATGTTAAAGCTATCTTTTTTTCTCGAAAATTTCGAATAAAATTGTCTGTACTTTAATTTGTTGTCAGCATTTTTTACTATTAATGCTTTAAAAAATAAAAATATCGAAATTATTTACGAATTTCTTGAAAGCAAATTAAAGCGAAATAGTTTAAACATATACATTTCAAATTTTCGGTAGTTTTCCTTCATAGGTTTCAAGATATATAGTTTTAAAATTGAAAAAAGTATGAAAAAATAATTCTTTATTGAAAGAAAAGCTTCAAAGTTTTAGCATCCAAGTTCAAAACAGCAAAGTAATAATTTGTCTCTTCAAAAAATTTTAAATAATGGTTTTTCGTTTCAATAGAATTTAAATGTATTTCTAATATATCTAAGTAATCTATCTATGCTAGGCAAAGAATCTATCTAAGCTATCTAATGAATCTATCTAAGCTATCTAAGATATCTAAGTAATATACGCAAGCTATATAAGGAATGTATCTAAGCTATCCTAGGAATCTATCTTAGCTATCTTAGGAATCTATCTAAGCTGTCCTAGGAATCTATCTAAGCTATCTAAGGAATATATCTAAGCTATCCTAGGAACCTATTTAAGCTATCTTAGGAATCTATATAGGCTATCCAAGGAATCTATATGAGCTATCTGAGATATCTAAGCTATCCAAGTAATCTATCAAAGCTATCGAAGGAATCGATCCAAACTATCTAAGGAATCTATCTAAGCAATCCAAGGAATCTATTAAAGCTAACTAAGGAATCTATGTAAGGAGCTATCTAAGCTATCCAAATAATCTACCCAATGTATCTAAGGAATTTATCTAAGAAATCTGTAATACGATGTAAAGCGAATTAACTTAAACCTTTTACTTTTTGCCACTTCATACTATTTTTGACAGCATTGGAGTTACATGAACTGTCGATGAAAAGCAATTTCATGTAGCGGATTAAATTAATAATTGTCTTTATCTCTGTAATTTTGAATCGAAATTAAAAAAAAAAAGCAAGGCAATTCTAGCGTCCAAAATTTCGAAACAAACTCATCTTCAATGACTTTTTCAGTTTAATTTATTTGTATTAACAGTGTTCATTGCAATGAAGTAGTTATAACATAAGCAAAAAGCCTATTCGCTCACTATCCCCCCAGAAAAAAAAATCGAACCAGAAGTCTTTTGTTCCTCCTATGACGTCATAGCAGCTCAGATTGGTGTAAATCAATCCATTCGTATCATCAGGAGGAAGTTATATACGCATCGTATTGTACTGCCATCTGATGATAATAGAGAGAACCTCCGTCATGAATAAAGTGAATTCTCGTAGCGGACTTCAGGGAATAAATGTCCACGTTTGAAAATATTTTATTTGAACTTTATAATTTTGTGTAAATATTTGCGTCACTTCACTACTATCTATGGCGTCCTGCGAAAAGTTTGCATTTGTAACGGATTTGAGGCAATAATGTCGAAACGGTCTTTAATGTCGAAAAACAAATGCGGATAGCCTATTCTCGTAGTGGACTTGAGGTAATGAACATCGACATTTTTGTAATTTATATTGAAACGTTAAAGATAAGGAGAATCTTGTTTCCAAAACATCGAAACTAACTAGTTTCCGTGATAACTGTGAATTTAACTAAACTACCAAGTATGGCGAAAACTACAATGATTTCACCAAGTTATTCCGAAGACAGTTTTGAGTTTTTCCACGCAAGCATCAGGTTCTTGATTTGTATTTTTTTAAAAATTGCTGGATGAAATTGCTGCAATCCCCATTGCCAATAATATCCATGATCTTGTTACCATCTTTCGCGAGTTTTAACTTATGATAATAACCGTGGTGATGATGATAACAACCTATGATCTATGATAATTATCGCTGAGAGTGATTCAGGGCAACATTTGACACGAATTGAATCTGTTGGCAGCTAGTAAAACAAATTTAATTTTTTGAAAACTTTTGAACCTAATTGAATCTATTGACAACTTTTAAAATTAGTTTATTCTATTGGCAACGTTTGTAACTAATTTAATCTGATGGCAGCTTCACGAAGGGAAAAAAATTCTACTAAAATTTCGGTGCATTATGATAATGATGTTTCTGGTAAAAATAAACCATAGTTCTGGTTTCATAAAACCAAAATATACGTATTTAAAGAATTCATTTAGTAATATTTCCATTCATATGGTAACTGTTAACCGAAATTTCTGATTTTCATAGTTCATGCTACCACGCAATTAGTAAAAAGTACAAAACTGAACAAAAAAGTAAATTTAACCGTTTGTTTTTATGTTTAACATTTTGTTTTTAAGACAAGCTGAAAGGTATCATGATTAACTTACCAAAATTTACCACATTTTATCACACATTATAAAACCATATTTTCTTTATTTTTAGCAAAATCATTACTAGAGCACTTCGGTAAAAATTATCGAGCTTTTTGATGTCCCCATAGAGCCAGTAAAACGGTAAATTTTACCATATTCTTATAGTTTACACCATGCTTTTTTTTCCAGTGTTTTGAAACTAATAAGCTATTTTCAACTTATGATTAATTTAATCTGCTATAGTTTCGCAGCTAATTTTAAAAACTACGTATATATTACCGTCGTTGAACAGCAGACCCAATTTAGGCTTTACGGTTACTAATATATGGACTCTGTAGTCTTGTAATTTTGAACCTGATCCAGAAGACAAGGGAACTCCAGGATCAAGTATTGGGAGAAATTTGCCTTCGTGAAGGACTTTTTGATGGAACTAACCCGCGTTTGCGTTGCATGGAGAGGAGAAGCCCGAAGACCTCACACGGTTAGCATGATGGCAAAGGGACTCTAACTCATGATCCGTCTACCACTGAGGATGTTTTACTTCCGGATTGTGGTCGGTGCGAGCCGGTTGCTGAATTCGCATCGACCAGCCATTGCTGGGATTGGAACCCGGTTCACCTCATTATCCCAAACATTCAGGAAAATTGCTCCACTGGTTTTTAGATTGATGATCTGTCGACAGGCTTGCATGTATTGGCAAGTGGCGATAGAACCAACAACAACATAAAAGGAATGTTTATGATGTTCGGAAATAAAAAAAGTAGAATACCGCCACCTAAGTTGTAGCCACCTTAAAGCCAAGAATAGAAAAGTTTGGAATGATATTATTCGGCAGGCCAAGGCTCACAGCGGGTTG